TCTTCAGTATCCTAGCCATGAATAAAAATGGTTTGAGGAAAAAGCTGTTGAGTATCTGAGCTTTCTCCCTCTCCTGACTAATCATGACTCGTCTATCCAGGACCCACATTTTTCTTATTCTTTCTCTTCTCACTGATTTACATAAAGAATCGTATTATGTTACCCTTGATGTTCTTGGCCAGATTTACTTCTGCACTGTTTTAGCCTTCCTAACCTGCTCCCTGGCTGCTCAGACAATTTCTGTTTGTTTCTCCCAAGATACCTTTCACTACTTCCACTGTCTTTAAGCTACCTGTTTGTGTTTAACTTTGTTCAAGAGCTTTTTTACCTATTTGCTGTTTGTAGGGATGCATTGCTGTTGAGTCTGGAGAGAATCCTTGACTATCACCCAGCTCTCTTGGGCCCCTCTTCTCTCCAGGGCTCCATCCCATGGCAGTCTATCAAAGAGATCATTGAAGTCTGCTCTCCTGAAGTTCAGGATAATGAGCTTTTATCCTCTTTGTTGCCTCACAGATCTCAAACTTCACTGTTTAATTGTCAGAGCAGCCCAGGCTACCTTTTGTCTTCACATTCCCCACTAACCCCTCCTTGTTGTTGAGAACAAGGTCCAGCATAGCCTTTCCTGGTTGGATCCTCAGTAACTTTGAGAAGAAAGTTGTTATCAATGCATTCTAGGAATCTCCTGGATTGCCTGTGTCCTGCCCTGTAGTCCGTTCAAAAGCTGTTGGTGTGGTTGGAGTTCCTCATGAGGGCTAGGTCTTGAAAACATAAGGCTGTGCCTCTCTGTAGGGGGCTTCATTGTCTTGGCCTTCTGGGCAGACCCACACAATAAAATCACCTGCCTCTGTCCTCCCTTTAATCCTGACCAGAATATGAATACCTTTGTTTGTAAAGCTCAGTATTGGTATGAGAATCCAGTGGTATTCAAACATTTTCATGGGTAAAAAAAATTTTTGTAGAAAAGCAACGAACATGGTACGATGGAAGAGCCATTGATAGGAGGATCTCTTGCTTATCAACTCTGGCTCACATCGAGTGTGTGAAACTATTCTAAATTCCTGTGCACATCCAAAGCCTTTCTTCCCTTCCTCCCCACTCCCAGCCAGGACCAGTCGTTTGAACACACACATTTCTCAAACAATTCTGTAAAATTTTATTATTTTGTGGTTTGGATAAGAATTTTCATTGGAACACAAGAAGTCTGACATTCACACAGACTTTTGAAATATCTCCTGCCATTGGTTGAAATACACAATGTACAATGAGATTAAGCAGAACTTTAGTTTCTCTTTTTCTTAATTGATTGCATTACTCCAAATAAATGCCCAAATATCAAAATTATGGGAACATTTGTAAAATGACAAAACCAGGCTTTTGACCCACTTCCCTCCTGCAATAAAACATGTATATACAATGTAAAATAACTGCTCAGCTCTATCACCACCCACTAGCCGTGTCTTATTCACCTTATCCACTTTTCTCATCGCATTAATAATTGAAGTTCACATCACATGGGATCTTTCTTGGCCTTTGAACTGCCTGACTGGAAGAAAGAACATAGAATTGTCAGTTTGGCATGGAAGTCTCTTCATTCAACTATGAAGATAAAAAATTGCCAGGAGGCTTATTTTTTTATTGTTGGGGCTTGGTGGTTTGTTTTTTTTTTTTTTTTTTTTTTTTTTTTTTTTTTTAATTATGTTTGGGGATTTTGGGGGAGGGGTATGGTTGTTGTTGCTTTGGTTTGTTTGGTTTGGTTTGGTTTTTCGGGGGCTTGTGCAGGAGGTTTCTGGTTTTTTACTCCCTTTTTTTTAATACTGTATGTCAGGGAATGGAACATGTAACAGCACTACAGGACAGTTTTCTCATCGGGAAAATGTTTCTAGTTAGTTTTGAAGCAGCATTAATTCATGATTCTGCATAACATTTGATGCAAAGTAGTCTTGCACTATGTAAATTCTCAAACTGTTGGCAGAATTTTCTGATACCTAGAAAAGATAAAAGTAAAGACTGAAAAAACCTGCATAAAAATGAGGGTGAAATGCTTACACCAGAATAGAACTAATGATAAAATAACCAGGAGGAATTCATTTTTGATCTTTCTTCCTCTCAAAATTGGCATAGAATGTGGTCTTTATGGACTCTGAGCTTCCCACAGCATAAAATAACAGTAATTCAGTAGGGAAAGGAAATATGTAAATTTTGAGAAAGAAAGAATAAAATCAGCTATAAAAATATAGCATAACCAGTTGAGGAAATAACAAGGTAAGTAAGCAAGAAACAACACCACATTTTTTTCCTTTTTTGAACACTCTCAAGACCATTGGTTTATGAAACCAAATTCAAGGCATAACCCTGCCCCTTTTCTAATGGAAGCATAATTCTACTTCTAGATCAGGGTTTTGTTCTACCATTGGCTTGGTCCACAGTTTTTACTTCATTAAGTTTTGTCTGGGACCAGCAGAAATTAGTATATTTAGGGTTGGAATCATTGTTGAGGATAGCTGGTGATTTTGTGTTTAAGCAAGGTCCTGCAAAGCTGCCTGTACTTAGGTTTTATATTCACAGTAACTACTTGGTAAAGTACAAACATAGGACAGGAATGAAATATTATGTAAGAGGAAATGTGAAGCTGGATTGAAAATGTGATTCAAGTATGAGTCCGGAAAGAGCAGTAAAAAATGATTGAGTTTTAGATAATGCTTCTGCTCTGAAGAGTTTCCTTGTCTGGAAGAAAACACAGGGCTAGTTTCAGTGAATTTGGCAGCATTAGGATTCTTTTCAGAATAATTTGTGAGATAACTGTATGGCATTTTGAAGGCTAGACCCAGATGAGCTGGTTACAGAACAAAATCATTGAAATGTGTATGCCATTGGTTTAGGCCTTGGTTAAAGTCCAGATAGGATCCCTGGGCTGGCATACCTGGACTAACTCTGGGGTTTGCAGATGCTATTTAACCCATCACCATCTGATTCAAGTAGGGGTTTCTTGGTTTATCAAGAACTCTCTAATTAAATTCAGAGAAGATTTAAAATAAAGCACTCAATTTAGCATAAATTCTTTTTGCATCTAGCTTGATTCATACTCCATTTTTTGGGGGAGGAAATAAGTATGATACTCACATACTGGTTTTCACTTATTTAGTCTTTTTTGTTGTGATTCTACCTTCTTTTCAAACAATAGCCTTCTTAAATCAACTTTTTACTACATGCTGTGAATTTCTGTTAAAATGCTTTTACAGAAAAAAAAATTTGTTTTTAGTTTGCCACTGAAAATTTTCAAGAAAATGACAGAGCCAAAAAGAAAGTTCCAGAACCCTGAACCATAACTCAGTATTAAACTTCATCTACTGCATTTCCTTCATATCTGTTTTCTGAGTACTGTTGCAACAGCTCTGTTGCCATGGTCTTGTTTTTCTCTCAGCTGAGTTCATTCCCAGCCATTGTAAACAAATTAACATAAATTATTAGTTTTCTCATTTCCACACAATGACAGAGTGGTGTCTTACTCTCTGTCACATGAATGAAACACGTTCTCTCCAGCATTTAACACTTGACAAAGCTTATCTTCCTTGAACTTTACTGAATGCAGATGGTGTAGTCATTCTGGATACACTGGAGAAGCCCTTACTCGTTTTCAACAACGCTTACTCGTGCCTCTAGTGCCAAAGAACTAATCTGGCTTCAAAAGAGTGCCAGCTGTATGTGTGCATCTATATTGCGTCAAGCTGATACAGTAGGTTGAGGAATGTTTCATATTGTGTTTTCAGATTTTTACAGCTTTGCAGCCAGGAGTGTATATATTTTACATAAATATTGCAAAAAGAAACCAATAGCCTTGATGTTTGAAAGAAGCAGTAAATTAAACAATGAACAGATGGAAGATATTTTTTTGCTTCTTCAACAGAATTAGGTGACATTTAAAATATTCTAGACACTGAATCTAATCCCTTTCTCTAATAGCTAGCATTACTCTTAACCTTTCATTTTTCTCTTTTAATAAAAAATATAATTATACTAATTTTTGTTTTCATTGTTCTTTTTCTGAGTTTATTTCTGTGGAAATTCCTGAGTGAAAGGAAGCTCTGTTAACCTGTGTCTCCCACACATACACACCCACCCCTTTCACTTCATTTCTAAGCTTGTTTTTTCTTCTACTGAAATCAAGCCTATTCACATTTTTTCATCAAACTGTATTATAAATTCAGCAATCCATGCCATCTGAAGAGGTTTCTTTCTCTCTACTGACTATTAAGTTACTAGCCACAAATATCTTCATTAAAATAAATATGAATTCCATCTTCAGTAATACAGCTGAAATAAAAGAGTGACCAAAGTGTGCTTCAAATCTTTTCCTACTTTTTGCCCTGAAGAGTCAGCTTCAGGAAATACATGAACACACTGCCCTATGAACTCCTTCCATTGATGTTCATCTCTTGCAACTAGGATCAAGGACGTCCCAGCACTGCATGTAATAGAGAGGTAGTGGAAATGATGATTTGAATTTTGATTATTTATTTTCTCTCTTTGACTTCTGGTTTTAACTTGTTCTTTGGAAACCAAATATGTAATAGTCAACAAACAAATCTCCCTGTGTTTATGTGCAAACCCAGCCATCTTAATTTCATTGACCTGAAGACAGGAAACCTCATATGAATTTGGCAGCACTCAACACAAAAGCAAGTGGTGGGGGAACACATGCCTGACCCCCAAACAGTTAGATGTGTCCATAGAACAGATCACCTCTCCTTTACCTTTCAGTGTATTGCATGCCAAAGGATACATAATCAGATTACTGATATTACAAACCAAAGTGATAATAAAATGCTACTTTCTGCAAGAATGTTTTCCTGTTTTGCGAAGGTCATTTCTCTCCATATTGACAATGACCTTTATTTTAAGGAGAAAGAAGAGTATCCACCGCTCTGTGAAAATCTAGTTTCTTTGATTATGTCCCATTAATTCCACTGCTTGCTAACACATGCTCTATTATGTTATCCTTTAGGAAAACTGCTTCATTCCCCTGCAAATCACCCAGGAAAAATCTTCAATCCTTTTTGACAGAAAGGCATAAAAGATTTTACCCAAAATACTAAGAAATGTGAATGGTTCACAGCTGCAGGTAAGCTTGTTTTTTCTCTTTGCTTCCAGTTATTATACAAGTACACGAAGTACTAAGTACATTCTTCTCTCTGTATTTCTTACAACCTCACAACAGAGCACAACTAAAAATAGTCATAAGGTCTTGTCATCAGCTTCCAAACTAATAAGCAGGCAATGGTATCTGAAATTCTTGCACCATATGATGCAGAGAGAGAGAAGCACATGATTAGAAGCATCTCTCCCTTGGAAACAGTTGTCTACACCTAGTTCCCTAATTAATGTCTTTAACAGCACTGGAGCAAAGTTTCTGTTGAAAGGATTTGTTAACAGTGGCACTAATTTAATTTCTGCATGACCCTCTGTGGCTTAAATTTTAGCTACACAAATGGTCCTTTAAGGTTTTACTATTGGTTTGGCTTGAGAGAAAAAGAAACAGCCTCAGGCTAAAAGACATACCACAATAACAAGTCAATTTAATTCACTAGAAACAATAAATGAAATGAAAATTTTCCACTTATTTTTTTCTCAAAATGCCTCATTTAGATATATAGATTTTGAAATCTGTTATTTTAAAAAGGTGGGGTTTAGTTTGTGGCTTTTTAATGAAAAGAGCTATATTGTAAGCATACAAACGCAGATATTCATAGAAGTAGGTACCTACATTATGTAAATATAGTCAACTGCCCAGCCTTCAGTGGATCTTTGTTAATCCATGTACTGGTATCAGGATAAATTGTGTTTGATGTATAAACAATGCTAATACAACTATAAATTGCAGTCTATTTTAATAAGTACTACATGAGTTATCCTTACTTATAATTTAATATGTATATTCAGACCCCTTTAGAATGTTGTTTCTGTATATCATGAATTAGACCAAATAAATGCTTTTAAAATAGTACTCTTCCTAAGAAAAATGTTATTTAAGAATTAAAGTAAAAACAGTAATGAGAACACTGCTTTACAGCGATACAATTATACTAAAGATGGTAAATGTGAAATTCTGTGAATAGTTATGTTATGACTTCTCTGTTTCATGTAAAAAAGAAAGTCTTTCTCTCTTCAATCAGTAACAAAATTTCCCGTTACCTCAATGGCACACCATCATATCTGTCAAAAACCACAATCCTCTTGCATTATATGACTGTTCAGCGTATATTTCATGGGCTGTAACTCATCCTCAGCGTTTCTCTGAGAAACAGATATGTTAACAAGTCTCTTCCATTGGCTAAGCAGCAGGAAGTCCCTGCAAACTCTGTCATCAGCAGACCAGGAGTACACACACATTGTGGCAGCAGAAAGAGCATCTAAAAGAGAAGCTGAGGCATGGCTCACTTTAGCACAACTAGGAAGGAGGAAAGAAAGAAAACAATAATAGTAATAATAAAAAAGAAGTAAAATACTTCCTTAGAAGTATATCACTGCTGTTATTCCATAGCCTCACTGACACAACAGAACTATGAACAGCCAGAGCATATATAGAAAAGAAATAAAGTGCAACGCAAAAATTGTGATGTATTTTATTTTTTTCTTTTTCTCCTAGAGGACTTTACTGACTCTGAAAGGAAAAGAAATGCTGTACTGAAGTTTAAATATATTTCATCCTTCATACATACACAGTCACCCGCAGAACCTCACTTCAGGAATTACTTGAGATTGATGCAGGCATGAACAGTCAGCAGCCTGGAAAAACAGCTTACAAGTAAGAAAAATGTAGTAAACCAAGCAAAACACAGCACAACATTGTGTGCTATGTGGAAGTGAAAAAACTTGGCTCTTGTATTTATCACCCCATTCCATTACCTGCAGCAGTTTGTGCAAGCACTTGTATGAGTAGGCATCAGAGGTGAATATTAAATACACAAGCAAACATTATAAATACAATATGAAAATCTGCCATGGTTTCCTTGGCCCTGGAGGCTCCAGGCACTCCGAGGAGCCCCCCACCTGTAACCAGACCCACCACCCCCTCCCCTGCAGAAGGAGGCTCTGTCCCATCCTCTCCATGCCCCGAGGACTGGGACACTTTGCTGCTCTCCGGGAGGTACATCATGCACACCTTCACACCCTTCCTGGAGCCAGACACTTCTTCACCTCTTCACAGAGTGGGGGACCCACAGTGCAAGTCCTTTAAATGCCCACCCTCCTCTGCAAGATGCCTCCTCCCCCCAAGCAGAGAGACCTGGTATAAAGTACAAAATCATTAAAAGAAAAAAAAAAAAAAAAAAAAAAAAAAAGTAGTTCACATAAAGGGGTTTATAGTAAGGAAAAATTGCAGAGGAAAACTTCAGGCTGAATGATTGTTTGCTCAAGTAATCATATCCTAAAATCTGAATAATCTCTTCCCTCTGTAGTCACGGGGAACTCTAGATACTGAAGCCGCTGGGTTTTTTTAATAAAACGTGAGGAAATAGAGGCAGGAGATGCCCAACAGATTTTTCATAAGGGTGAAAAATCCCCGAGGAAAAGTATTGGAAAAAAAATTAAAACCTTTTTACCTTTTTTAGACAAAAAATTTCAGGGAGAAATCTTTATTTGAGACAGTCAAACTAATTAAAAAGTTTTTCTTGTTTGACTCCTGGTCAAGATAATAGATCTTGGATGGTGACGATGATTATTACTGTTCTTGTTGAAAATAGAGGCTTAAAGTAAAAAAAATGTCTCTTTTCATAAAGTGGATAAGCTCCTCTGTTAAAAATGTTTTCTACTTTGAGAGGAACATTTAGGTAAAATAAATAAAAGAAGTTTTATTATGCTAATTTGTAGGGAAAGAAATTATGTACAAAGAAATCTAACTCCTTTCTTATAGTTAAAACAGAAGTTTATGTTAAGGAACAAATTAATAGAAATCAACTTTGGAATTACATGGGATTACAATGGAAAGTTGTCTTCTCTTTACAATAAATGATATGGCCAGATAAAATGGCAAAAATAACTCTTTATAGCATGCATCCAGTCAAATTCTACAGTCCATATAGTTTTACCTAACCACAAAAACAGAGTAAAATTTTCAGAATATTAAGATGTCAAGTTTCGTAGTGTTTCTTTACTTGTATTTATTTTATTAACTTAAATTGTTACTAAAATTTCCTACCAGTGTTTCCAGAGAACACTCAACTCTAAAAATAGATGCATGCTTAACCAGCCTCATGGTTTGCTCCCAAATGGAGGAAAAATTTTCTTTGCATTTTCCAGTATTTTTAAGGGCTTTGCTTCATAAAGATTCAGCAAAAATTTGCAGTAATAGCCCAAACTGCAGACAATTGTCTATGTTTCAGCCTCTTGTGAGCTTGTCAGAAGCCCTTGAAAAGGTCGATTAAAAGATTAGTAATGTCCATTATGACTATTTGAACAAGGAAAGTTACAGCAATTTGTTCTCCAGCTCACAGGGTTTCACAACTAGATGTGTAGGACAGATGTACATCCATCAGTAGAAATTATAGATAAGGGTTTTGATTCACCCCTAACTTACTCAAAATTTTCTTTAGACTTCAGCCTGAACCTTCACATTAAAGAATGTTACTTAATACCACACAGTCTTTATCAGCAAGAAATGCAACAAGAGATCTTGTTCTATTTTGGGCAATTTTGATCACTGTTCCTGAAAAATATGCAAGAAAATTGAGAAAATGAAAAATAAAACCCAAAACACTGTATTGAAGATTTTTCAAACAGCAAAATTTATCCTCACTCTCAGTACTTTTGAAGGACTAAGCTTAACTTTATTTATTCCAGATTATTAAAGCACCTTTTATTTTTTTATATTTGCGTTGTACAATCCAATATTTGTACTGCAATATAAAATAATTTCCATAACTAACTACAAGCAATATATAAAGAAACTTTGTAACTGAATTTTATTTATAACTAAAAAGGTGTTGTCAAATTATCCATCTGCATTATTATTTTTTTAAATGCCTCTTTTTTTCATAATGTTTTAGTAACATTAAACAATATTAATCACATAATGCAAAAAAATGGGGATACTATTTAATGAGAGAAATACCTCTGACTTTAGAATTTATTTTACTGCCCTGATCTTTCACTATAATCAAGGTTTTTACTAATATGATTTAATTTGTCCTTCTCCTAAAAGTGCAAATCTGATATACTGGTGACAAGATAATTAGTTTACTGTTTCTTCAGCTGTGATAAATTTTGGTGGAGAAATTACAATAATCTGGGAGTTTAATTTTCCTCAGCCAATAGTTTCAATTCCAAAATTATTTTGTATTGGCATACCTGATTTTTTCTAGTCATTCAGGGTGAAAGAGTTTATTTCCCAGATGAAGAAGAATGATTGTTTGACTACTGATATTCAAAATTACCAAAAGAATTAGAAGTCTTTTGGTTTTGCAGCAGGTTATTCACTGTTATATCATTTTTCACTTTTACATCTTTATGTCTTTAAATCTTTACATGAATTACTGATAAAATGGATAGCTAAAATTGAAACAGAAGCCAATATGATGCCACACATTAATTTTGAAATATTCAGGTGGTGTGCACTAAAAAACAATATCACATAAAGATGATTTAATGCTCTCAATAACAGACAATTTAAGTTGTGGAGCACAAGTATAAGACAACACTTGAACAGATTTGTCCAAGTCTGATTGAGTGAATGGGTTGGCTGGTCCAGCTACAGGATAAAGATGAGGACTATAGATAATCAGGACAGAGAGATGATTCCTAAGTCAGGATGGGTCAAGTTATTTTCATTCAATTTGCCCTAAATTAATGGGATGTAGCTATGATATTGCTCACCTATCTGCCTGCAATACTACTGAATAATTATCAAAAAATAACATGTTCAGGGCATTGTTTTTCTTTTTTTAAAGTCAAAGATGAATTCTGAGTGTGTGCTGGGTGTTTGGCTGCCTAAGTTCAGGACCAAGTTAGATAATGGCACAAGTATCCAGCTTTAGAGAAACCTGCTTGAGAAACTTCTGCAGGGAATTCTTATCAGGATTTCCCATGCCAGCAGATATAGGAGATTCCCTGTGTCTGTGTATTAAGCAGAGGTTGTGCTTGTTTTTATATATTTTAAACAAATGAACACAAGGTCCTGTTATATCTGTTGCTTGTCAAATGTCTGTATCATTCTCTACCTGCTTATCCTGTGCCTAAATATTTAGACTTCAGTTTTGGCTCTGCAAGGCATTGTGGCATAGATGTAATTTAAAGTGCTTGAAGTGCATAAACATGGACTTTGCTATTATCTTTCATATGTTGGAAATTATACATATGCACAAGCAGCTAAGAGATAACACTATAAATTACATTTTTACATTCAAATGTAATCCCAGAAATGCCAAATTTAAAATATTTAGGAAAAAATTAAAACCTTATTAATTACCAAGTCCACTAAGTCAGATCAACAACCTTCATAAACACTGTGGTCTAGCAGCCCAAGGTTCGTAGTTTTGTTAGAAAAAATGTCAAGCTCATGGAAAATTGCCTTACTAATCATCTTAAAACAGAAGGATAAAACATAATAACAAGGGCTTCCTGTCCCCTTTTCTATATATTTAAATTTTAGGGCTTTTATGCTATATAAAAACAATAACAAAACATTTGGGCAATGTATACTCATATGCTTGACTGAAAGCACATATAATGTATGTATGGAATTACAGAGGTCTTAAAATTCTAGAAGTAGCCATGTGGTAATAGAAAATGTACTTTTTTATAAACCAATATCATTGAACTGTGGCAAGACATGGATGCAGACAAATTCGAACATTGCAGGTCTGATTCAGAGTTCTGCTATGCTAAGCTGATAGTCTGAAGAAAATAGGAGATGGAATCAGATAACTTCCAGCTTTGCATGGGCTTTCTTTCTCCTCAGGGATATAGGCAATCCTTTTGCTCATACTCTGTGGCAGAAACCTAAAGGACTGAAGCAATCTCACTGTGAGGAAGCAAGCAACTCAGATGAGTTTAATAAATTGAATTGGTTTATAGCAGGATAGTAGAACCTCTTGTGGAGGGTCTTTCCAAGGACAAAGCAAGCAATTCACATTTGGTTCAATAACATTCGCTTACATAGCAGGAAAGAATAATTACCCCATTGCAGGAATGAAAGGTGAAATTTAATAGCTTAAGTTATTTTGTGGGTCAGATAAGATAATAATGGTAGTTCTTTTTGACCTTAAAATCCATGGATCTGTGCATTAAGCTGTAGAGACTTGTCTAGATTTTTATATACAGGCAAAAAATTGAATACTCTTTGGAAAGATTAGAAACTTTCTTTCCTCCCTCTTAAAGACATGTCAGGAGGCAAATATTGATTTTACCTATACTTTTAAAAATCTCCAAAATTTTTTTCATCCCCTCAGACTAATTATGATTTTAACAGCTTTTGCCATCTTTGACTGGATTGTTTCACACTGGATTTAAAAGTCCCAAGCAATGAATACAAGTATGTATCTTTCATTGACTTTTGCAGCACATAGTGCATGGCAAAAAATAATGAATATGAGACACTATTTCATAGGTTCACATCAAGTTAGTGTGATAACAAAGAAATGCTGAATTACACAGACTGATGGGTGAAAGGAATTATTTTCATTTCTGTGACAATACTTTAACGCTAATCAATAAATGGTGAAGAGCTGATTGTTGTATTGTTTCAAGCCTCTGAAAATACTTAATATCTCCCAGTTTCTGTGAACAGCAAAGGAAAAATCAGAGACATTG